TGTTTTCAAACTTGATTTAATATTAGATTCGAGGGATATCTAGCTAGACTATCAGATAAATGGTGTTCCCGAAGTTTTTACCTCATATGGGAATGGCTCTAGAGTTATTTAAGTGAACTTGGAGGCGGGTAAAACGTATACGTTTTGATAAAAAAAAATCTAGAAACCTTGCTTGGAATTGATTGTGCACAATTTTTGTTTAACCTTGAATTCATAGTGGCACGATTGCGATCGCGATTTAACAGCTGATCGATTTTTAGAAGCTGTTTGTGAGATCGATTTTTCTTTATTAAAATCATTTAGATTACTATTATGAATTGAATTAAAGATTTAAATTAATATTAATAAATAAAAATTGATATCATAAACACATTTTAAAAATCGATCAGCTGTTAAATCGCAATCGCGCCACTATGAATTCAAGGTAATGCAATGCAAATATATAAGTTATTGCTATGCTGTGGATAAAACAAAAAGTGAATATAAAACTTTTTTTTTTAAATCACAATTATTTTACTCCCAGTGTTGTGCCGTTTTACTAGATGGGTTGGCAAAATGCCCGATTCGGGTCAATTTTAAAAAAAATGACCTGATTAAGATTTTAGCCTAAAATATTTTAAGTAAAATGATTTGACATATAGAGGTTCAAACTTTTCTGCCATCTATGATATAAATCTCCAAGCTGGAGTCGTTTTTAAAAATTTACTCGAATTGGGCTTTTTAACAACCCTACTTGGGGATATAAACTAATAAAGTATTTTTAAATATATCTAAGGGTATGTTCAGGTTCTACATGTTTTTGATACTTAATATTGTTAGCCAAGGCCAAGAAGCTTTTGAACTAGGAAACACTATTTTGGTAGGTTTTTTTGGTCTATTTTAAGTATTTTATTTGGTTGTATTGTTATTTTTCTTTTGGTTCATTTGGTTTTTTAGGCTTTTTTAATGTTTATTTCGTTTTTTTGCTATTTAGGCTGTTTAGTCAAAGTTAAATAGTTTAGTAATAATAAATCGAACCAAGATACCCTAAGTGTTCAGTATCTTCCCTAAGATAGTATTATAAACATTTGTTAATACATCATAGACGTAGCCAGGATTTTGTCAAAGGGGAGAGGAGCAATATTAGATGGGGTCATTCCCCGTGAATTCCATGGGATGTAGACCTTTGGCTACATTACATTAAATTTATATGAAAATAATTGAAAAAATACTGAAAGAAAGAAATAAAAATTTTAAAAACTTTGCATTATAGTAGTAAATTTTTAAAGTTATCTTCTACTAATTTTTCTTTCAAATTCTTTATTATAGTAATATATTGTAAACATTTTTTGGGGAGAGGGAGGTGAAGGAGCATATATTTCTTAGCTTAAAATGATATATACGGAAACGAGAAAATTTGTGATGTATGGGGGGGGGGCAATTATATATCACTCTCCTCTTTCCTTGGTTATGCACCTGAAATGCATTTAATCTGTACTGTATGGAATCCATTGGGGTTCGAAATAATTTTTTGTTTAATCATTTGTCGATCAATATTAAAACTCGATTTAACAAGTGTATTGCAACATGTCTAGAATACCTACCTTCCATATGAATTTCAGACAGTTTTCACAATAAATCTTTGGATATATTTTAAGTAATATAAAAAATTCATATAAAAAATCGATATAAATTAAACAGATAAAAAGTTCACAGCAAAGTTATTTGATGTCATGCTGAACTAATTTCCGGTTGTCAGGTGCTCTCAAAGTGATTTAAAATTAAGAGATCTGGAATCCCCATGGATTCCTTATCTCAATATGACTTATTCATACATTAAAGTCCGCTGTTAAAATTCATTTAGCCTAAATGTTAATATCGTTATCTAATAGAGCCAGTGAAATTTACAGCTGATGTCGTGTAATGTATGTGAACTTTTAATAATAGAATCTTCAGTAAGGTTAGTATTAATATTATTGGGCGGCGCACTATTTTTTTATTCAATAATTTCGCATACATGAGCCAGCCAAGGAGTTACACCAGCAAATATTTTCAAGTTATAATGTATAGTTTTCAATTATAGGTAGAGAAAATTTTTGGAAATAATATTTTGCAATGCTCGATTTTTGGCTTACTATCTTTTAACAATATAATCTTAAGTCTAAAACTCTCTGAGAAACAAAAAATGGAGTTATTACTCCTAAATTTTAAATCTTTATATTTTGTTACATTGGCTATGAGATTCATTAAATATGGTTAATAAATAAAATTTTAATATCATATGTACAAATATTAATACTTCTACCATATTATATATTGGATTGAAAATAAAATCATTTTACTATTTCTAAGCAGAGTATTTAATTTCAAATAAGTATTAAAATAAGTTTAGTATATTGCATAGATTTTTAAATCCTATCTTTAACATGTGCCTAATCCTTTTTAATGAAATTGGCTTTTGACGAAATGGATTTAAAAATCTGATTCGTCTCCACTATAAATGCAAAAGCCAAATATAATAATACTTTTGATAAAGTTGATTATTGTTACATGTATGTAACGTTTCAATTTAAAGTTTTTTATCTATTATTGTCTTAAGCGTTATTATACATGTCTTAAATGATTACTGTTTAAGGCATTATGTTATATTTGGACTTGTTATTATATTATAAACAATATATTTCATTTTATAATAATGTTTATTTTAGAAATCACGATTTAAGACTTTACTTTAAATGGATAAGTTTAAACGTTAATTGTTTTAATCGGAAATGAAATACGTATATATATATATATATATATTATTTTAGAAAAAGATTATCAGAAAATCTTTATACTTTCGAATTTACTTATTGTTAATTTATAAATACTGTGTTGATAAATAGTTAATAATAAAACATATATTTTCAATCAATACTACCGATATCCAAGTTCTTTTATTATCAAGCACTACTACCGATCTACAACAAGCTATTTCATTAATAATAAAGCAAATTTTTATAAGTGTAGGTTTAGTCTTAACCGAGGAGAGAGATGCCCAGCCACAAATGCGACATGCAACTAATGTAAAAAATTGATCATTATACAGTTTGTTTTAAATCAAAAAATTTAAATTATATTAGAATGTCATAAAGTGATTCCATTCATAAAATGGAATATTGTTGTTAAATGGCTCGAGCCGATTTTAAAAAACTTCTAACTCAATATTTTATCTAGAAAAATATTATGCAGCGCAAGCCTAAAGATTTTGGGGTGGTACAAATGTTTGGACATCTATTACCCAAACCTTGAGGTTTAGGCAATAATTTTCTGACTATAATATTGAGCTAGTCGTTTTTTAAAATCGACTAAATCGGGCCGTTTAACAATACTAATATGGAAGATTCAACAGAATCGAGCAAATTTAACTGCAGATATGAATGTTTTATTTGATAGTAAAGATATGGTATTACATGGATTAATAGCGTTAAGCACCTTGGCGGTGGAAGAAAAAAGAACAAGATTCCTTTGAAAAAGTTAAAATATTATTGTCAATAGAGGAAACGTCAATTTCTTACAACCCGCAGTTGCCGATAATTATTGAATGTGATGATTATGAATCAGGATTAGAGTGTTGTCACATCATTAGTAGATAGAAGGACAAAACTTATCGAGTTCACATCACGTACTTTATTCGAATCGGAAACACTATGATCTAGATATAGAACCTCATACACTTTATTTTGGAGTGAACTTTATTTATTTAATTATGATAGGAACTGATAACAAACCATTAAGGCGATTATTTAGAGAGAAACGGTCTCTAAATTTCTAACTGGAAGATAACTTCTTATGATTTCCAATCGAATATAGGCCCGAAAGTAAAAGCCTGGCAGATGCATTATCAAGACTTCCGATATTGAACGAAGCCTTGGAAGATTCGAAGGATAAAATTAGTGGATAACTTTTAAAAATAATTATATTCCTCACCCAAAATTTCTAATGTTTAAAATTAATTCAATGTAATTTTAAATATGAATTAGTCAGAAAATAGTTTACCAAAAGATTTGAAGTGGACTTAACATTAAAAAATATAGCATGTCATATTGAGCAAAAATAAGTTTCATCGTCATAAGGATGAAGAAAAATTTAGTTATTATAATCAACGGGAAGAGTTATCTGTCGATCGTGATATCATAGAATGGAATGGGAGATTTGTGTATCCAATAAATTAAGGAATACACTAGAAATAATTCATAAAGAACATCCTGATATAAATATAATTAAAGCATTTTTTAGAATTGTGGTGGCCCAAGTGCTAAAAGATATAGAAAATTTTATCAAGACTTGGACCAAATGTAGAACATGAAATTGAAGAAGAAAGTCAAGATCATGATTTACATTCGAAAGGGAGGGAATTTAAGATTTTACTATCTGTTATGAGAATACGCTGGAAGAGGAGTGATAAAAGAGAGGACAGGACAGGATTATATTCATATATCGTAAAAACTTCCAAGAGAACTTTGCGGAAACATAGAGATCAGCTAAGAGATTAAATTATTCCGAATGAAAATTCATTAGAAGTTACAGTGTTTTGTGCCAATAAATGAAGCAGGTATGAATACTACATTACGTTGTTCAACAAGAAATCGTAAATTAACAAAAAAAGTTTATTGAGGAGGTTTCCCTTAAAAAATGTTTAGAGGGAATGTAATAAATGAGCATTTATGATAAAAATGAATATTCTAGAAATTGATTATTATTATTATTATTATTAAAATGTAGAAATAGAATATTTCAATGTAATATTTATATCTGAAAAAACTATGAATGTAACAAAATAAAGTCTCTAACGGCTATTATGTTAGTTTACTATAGCAGTCCTATATAGATTTCTATAGTTTTTATATTATAATGTAATGTTATTTGATTCTTTCCTATTTATATTAATAAATGGCTCCTTTTAATTTAAAATAGTTTTTTGAAAGCCATCTAAATAATGCCGATTATTATCATATGTTCCAACCGCAAATATATTTTCATCAAATTTTTTTTAACCAATATCTTATTTTTCTTCTCTAAATAATAATGTTAAAGTAAAGAGATAAATTTGTTGATTTCTAAATAATAATGTTACAATTAAATATATTTTAATGATGAAAATGAAAATTATATTTATTCGATTTATAATATTTTCCATATGGCTCTCTATATTTTTAGGAGCAGCCTTCATGATTTCTAAAGAAATCAAGACTCAGAAATTTTCAAAATTGATCAAAATATGGATGGTGTCAACGATATTTATTCTTTTAGCCATTCCAATTTCTTTACTTGGCATATTACAACATTTGCTTAATTATACTAAACCATATCTGCAACTTTATATTATTCGAATTTTATGGATGGTCCCAATTTATGCTATGAATGCATGGGTTGCTTTGAGATTCCCTAAATCTGCAATATATCTTGATACACTTAGAGAATGTTATGAAGCCTATGTTATATATAATTTTACATCATTCTTATTAAATTATCTTAAATGTAGCTTGGATTTAATAGCAACTCTTGAAGAAAAAAGGGCAGTATCACATATATTTCCTGCAAATCTTATATTGCCAAAATGGAAACCAGGATGGCCATTTATTCAAAATTGTAAAAGGGGAGTATTACAATATACTGTCATTAGGCCTCTTATGACTATAATAGCATTGATCACAGAAATGTTTGGTGTGTATCAAGATGGTATTTTCTCATTTCGCTATACTTGGATATATACTGTAATTATTAATAATATCTCTCAATTGTTTGCTATGTATTGCTTAATATTATTTTACAAAGCCACATACCAAGAACTTAAACCTATGAAGCCCTTGGGAAAATTTTTCTGTGTTAAGGCAGTTGTTTTTGCCTCATTTTGGCAGAGTGTACTGATAGCTTTTTTTGTTCATAGTAAAATTTTAACTGAAAACAATACTTGGAAAACATATGATTCTCAAACTTTGCAAGCTAGTCTACAAGACTTCTGTATTTGCATTGAAATGCTCTTTGCAGCTATAGCTCATTATTTTTGCTTCTCTGCCTCACCTTATGCTCTGCAAACAATAAGTGAGTATTCAAGCAATGATAACATGCTATCTAATAATGATAATCTCAATTATAATACTGATAATATAAATAATAAATTTAAATCCTGTAATCTTGGGACTAATGAATACAATGTAAACCAAATCCAAAGTTCTAACAATTATTCTAATATTGATCAAGATAGCATTTTGATTGCTGATAATAATAATATGAATAGGTCCTTTTTTGGATCAGTTTGGCATTCTGTCAAGTTGATGTTAAATGTATCAGACGTTTATGAAGATGTACATCAACAAGTTAATTATATGATCAAATCAAATAATTTGAAAAACCGGTATCGAGATAAAGTTGCACAGAATACCAATATTATGACAGTATCTACTGTTCAGCCAGATGATAAAATCCTACTTAAAAATAATTTTGATACAGATGATGACAATAAACTTTTTATGGATTGCTGCTCTAACAATCATAACACAAACATAAAAAATGACAGTAAATATACAGTTAAAAGAGACCCAAATGGATTTAAAAATCAATTAGCCTAATTTTTAAATCACAGTAAAATATATTATATTCTCTAATATAAAAAGAACTAAATGATTTATAATATGAAATTTATATGATCACACAGTATCTAGTTAAATATTCCATTTTTATGTCATGTATGATAAATACTAAATCAATATTCAGTCCAACTCATATTATTTTATCGCGAAATATTTTTTCTGCCATTATTGATTTTAACCAGATTCCTAAATTATATGTTTTTTTAAAATCAAATTTTCAAAACACATACTCTTATATCACTATACTGCACCTGTGAAAAGTAATCTGTATATTTTTTTAGTATTAAAACAACAATTTTATTTTTTGCAATATAATAATATTTTGTTGAATATAATATAAACATAAATTTTTTTTAAAATGAACACGATATATCATCAATAAAGTTATAATATATTACAATTTTTTACTATTTTAATTTTAATAGAATTATATAAAAATTCAAACCTTTTCACCCCAAATAGATATAAAAGACTGGACTAGAACAATTATTTTAGTGTAGTGAAAAATCTCCATTTATTCTTTAATACTTAAATAGATGTCCTAACCTTTCTGCTATCTACATAGTGTTGCGTATTTGACGAATTTTAGTAGTACATGAGATTTTTTAGCCACGTGACACTACATCTACAAGAAAAATCTCCAAGTTTCATAATTTTTTTTTGGATAAAATATTGGGCTGACCGTTTTCGAAATCGAGCCTTTAACAACCATAGTTGGAGGTTAAGTTTTGATCTATATAAAACATGTTAGATATTTTAAATCGGGTGAGTGAGCCAGGAATTTGCTCGGGATGAGGATGTAGGGATAATCCCTAAAAAAAATCATCTTTGAAGTTTTTATTGAATATCTAAGATTTTCTAAAAATTTATTCTAGTAACTAAATATTTGGACAGATACTGATCTGTAAATTTACCAAATATTAATTCAATATATAATTTTATTCATAAAAAATGCTGTTTTAAATGATTAAATGTAAGCTAAGAATATTTTTAGGCTAAAAAGAAACGGCTAAAAATGCAGTTATTACTATTATGAATCACAAAAACAAATTTGTACAAAAATGAATTTTTTTGAGCATTTAAAATGTATATAAATTTAGAAGAATTACTTATTAGATAAAAAAAATGGCACATTTATGTATAAATTTTGAAAAAAATTTAAATCTTATAGATTGAAACATTGCATATAAAACAACCAATATATTTACAAATATATATATATGAAGTCTCCTTTGTGATTGAAAACATTTATTTCATAAATATTTTAAAAAAATTACTAGATATCTGAATTTAAAATTACAAAAAAATTCGTAATTTGATAGTTTTCTTAGTTACCTTAAAATTAGACTTATTCTTGTTTTAAGGTATCTAGTTGTTAAACGGCTTAACTCAATACTTTATCCAGAAAAATATTACCCAAGCCTAAAGATTGCTCATAGAAAAAACATAGGTCTAGACATATAACGAAATCTTGAGACTTAGGCAATTTTTTTTTGGCTAAAATATTGAGTTAGCCATTTTTAAAAATCACCCCAAAACGAGTCATTTAATAACACTAGAGGTTTCATTAATTTTTACCCATGATAATGGTTAACTTTCAATACGTACAAATATTTTAACTAATTATACATGTAGGTTATGATCATTATATATTTTGTTAAATTAATTTTTTTTTAAAAAAATTTTGCTAAATAATAACAAATTTAAGGTTTTTTTTGGCTCTTATTATTACATCCTTTATATAATAAAAGCCTTTTGTATATTAATCATTATTTCCTTCTTAGTTTCTATTTACTATTTTTCCTTTTTAGAAATCCTCCTTTTAAAATCCCTTATTCTTTTTCCTAAATTCTATTTTTTTTTAATATTTTTTCGCCGTTATTAATTTTATCTTAGAAAAAAAAATTAATTATAATACTTCATTACATTTTAACAATATATTATTTTATCAGTTAGTAGAATTCAAATAAAGAAATAATTGCATTGAAATAAAATAAAATAAATTAACTTATGTTCATTTAAATAATTAGGATTTAATAAAATTAATTTTTTTTTGTTATTATTGGATCAAATTTTTAATATTTTTAGCGCATTCATGTATAAGATATGTAAAAGGCTTAATTAACATTAATAATAAATATTATAAAAAATGAATACATTAATATTAATTTTATTTTAACATATTAATAGGGACAACGGTTCATCAACCTCATGTTGGCAAATTTGAGAATTTTTTTTCTACCTCGGTAATGAAGGGTGACCACGAATTAAATATTAACTACATTTTGTAGTGTGAGATAAGAAATGCATTGTCCTCCTTCCCATCTACATTATGTGATTTGCCTAATTTGAGTTCCAAAATGATGTGCTCTGATCTGAGAAAATTTTATATATACTTAATTTAAGAAAATGGCTAAAATTTTTATTATTTACAAACCTTAATTCAGTTTTTTTTATAATTTTTCTATCAGATCCAGACAATTAGATTTTTCAAATTTAAAAGATTCTTATTTAGTTCGTAAGATGAACTTTTAGAAATTTTTGCCTTGGACAAATTTCACAGAAAGATGCAGCTGAAATTCAGTGTAAGGATACTGATTCTGGAATATATTTCCGGTCACAGATTTTTTAAATTAAAATATAGTGAATGGCACTGAGAAAATGATTTAAAAGCGATTCCGAATCCCATAGATTCCATATCCCGAAGACATATTATGTTTTGAAATATTAATAAGACTTAATATCAAGGACCCTTCCAGGACCAAAAATTTCATATTTTCGAGAAAACTTTAAAATGGAATATTGTCCGGAATACCTTTTGAAGGTTCTAGAGTTTTTAGGTTTTCCCATAAACCATGTTGGCTTCTCGTAACTTTTTTGAATATGAAACTAACGGAAACTTAACATTTTTTTAAAAAAATTTTTGGAAAGCGGTTTCTTAGGTGTGTTTTCGAAAATTTTTAAAATTTATTTCCAAACAGATTTATAATATGCAGAATATTTTTTTAATATAATATTTAATTTTTCATCATATTTTAAGCTTTTTATCTAAAAAATTTTTTTTCTAAAAATAAGGTTTATTTAATTAATGATCTTATGTTATAAAATTACTTTCATAATTGTTGTATTAAGAACTACTTTCTTTCTGTCTTTCTTTCTTTCTTTCTTTCTTTCTTTCTTTCTTTCTTTCTTTCTTTCTTTCTTTCTTTCTTTCTTTCTTTCTTTCTTTCTTTCTTTCTTTCTTTCTTTCTTTCTTTCTTTCTTTCTTTCTTTCTTTCTTTCTTTCTTTCTTTCTTTCTTTCTTTCTTTCTTTTTCAAACAACCAACACATGACTAAGTAAAATCAACCATTTTTTTCCTTTTTTTTAAAACAATTGAAATATAATTCTATATTTAATACACATAAGACGATTCACAGTTTCTATCTAAATATCGACCGAATTTTTAAAATTTCATCCATTTTATATTTGCTCGCCAATATTTTAGTGTCCACGCTTTTAAGTTTTGCCGTACTTTTTTAATAAAAAAAATCCCTTGTTTAAATCGAGACGGAATTTTTAGTGTTTGTTATAGAACAAAAAAAATGATGTCATGGTTTTTAAGGCCAAACGGTAATTTGGCCGATTTGCACTATACGATTTAAAATGCATTATTTGTGTTTGCAACATGGCGTTTAAAAAGGTAAATTTTTTGCTCAAACTATAAAGAAGGAGATACTAGTAAAATAAAATTATGGTATCATCCTTTTTTAAAAAAAACGTGATATAAATCAGGGATCCAAACCGAACCGTTAAACCGCTAAAAACCGGTATTTTTTATCAAACCTAAACCGAACCTAAATCTCTAAAAAATTTCTAGTCGAACCTGAACCGAACCGCTAAAATGCCTCTGAACCAGTTTGAGTCTCATAATTTTATGCTTATAAAATAATGTGTAAGTTATTACTAGAAGTATATTGCAAAAATTTTAATTATATTCAAATTGTTTTAAAAATTATTATCAATCACATTTGATTGATAAACCTCAGTCATAATTTTTATAAACTTTAGTATATTGCCATTTTACAACATTTTTTAAATATTTTAAGCTTATAAATTATAATGCCTAGAAAAAAATTAAATCTAATATATAAATTATTTACATATAGTATTATAAATGACACATCAAATGTGATATGCCAACTACCCAACTTAGTGTGGAAAGATGTTTTTCAACAATTTAATTTATATTATCTCCTTATAGATGTAATTTGGGTGAGACTAATTTTGAAAATATATTAATTGTGCGGCTTAATAAAATTTTTTAAGTAATTGTTCATATTAAAATTATTCATTGATATATTTATAAATTTAATATTATTTTATAATGTGCAATTAATAAAAATGAAGGTTTTTATTTTAATTATGAAATAAAAAAAAAATTTTCCTTATACATAATCCTAAAGTAGGTTTGAATACAAAAGTGTTCAAACCGGTGTTTAGAGGTTCGAACCGAACCCATATTTTTATTTTTTGCGAACCGAACCTGAACCTTGAACCGTTATTTTTATCCGAACCTGAACCGAACCGATATTCGTTTCGGTTTGGATCCCTGATAATAATACATATGTACTCATCGAATGTTTTGAATGATCGCAAATCACGAAATTAGAGATGATTTGCAATATTAGCTTCATATAGTGCTTTCTGAAAAATTATATTATTTCTTGGGATAATATTTATATCTACTAAAAAAAGAAAATGTAGAAGATGTCTTTTTTGGTCATCTTATGCCGCATCTTTAATATTTATATGGTTAGATATTTAAGTCCCTAGCAATATTGCCACTGAATATCTAAATTTGGTGTGTGGTAGAAGCGATTTTATTGTTTTGCTTGGAGAGGGGCCATTCGTAACCAATCTTTTCTATAACCAATGAACGGAGGTTTGCAATCCGTGCGTCGTTACTCAAAAGTAAATAGTCAACGGAGCGCGATACGATAGCTACATTCCAATGATTTGGTGAGCTGACTGTAGGATAATTTGTTACCACTGTTACACTTGGTAACCAGTTAGATAGCTCTAGATTAAGCAACAAATCTTCGTTTAATTAGATTAAAAATAAGTTCTTGGTTACTTAAAGGAAAGCGCAGACCAAGTCCTTCAGATTTTTTGGGAAGGATAATTTGTAATATGTATTCTGACTAAATTTTAGATTAAATCCTCCGACATAGATTTTGTTTTATTTTAGTAAATTTGGATCTGAAAATAGGAATACTCCCATGGCAGTAAAGAATTTTGGGAATGTTTATAAGGGTTTTAATCATTAATAAACCTGATACGAAGGTGATATTTTGTATTGATGTTAGATTCTCGAGGTTCCATTCGGAATGTTTGAGTACTGGTCGAGGAACTTATTGGTAACTC